CCATCGCCAGATCATGCAAGTAGTGTAGAAGCGGTCTCCAATCGCTGATGTTGAAGGAAGCTGCCCGCCAGAGCGATGCGAAATTGTAGGGGCTCAAGCCTTTAGGTGTTGATGAAGGGAACCAGGATGCCGGGGAGAGGATGTCCGCGAGCCGCATAGAATCCAGAGGAAGCCGAAGTACACGATGCAGCGCATGGATCTCACGCCGAAGGACCTCCGGAGGAAGTTCAAAGAACTGCATCAGGTATCCAAAGACAGTAATGCAGGAGGACTGGTAAACCCGAGCAAGAACGTCCGTGGGCGCGCCCGTAATGGAAAGAGCGACGAGGCGTTCCCACCACTTCGCAGAGGGGCTCTGCCACTGGCTCTGTATCGTTGCCGCGGGCCCGATCTTGGCACCCAGGTACGTGCCAAGCCCTTGGACGTCGAAGTGCTGCCAGGCCGGTACGTGGTCGGCCAGAAAGTCACGAACCTCCTGTTGTACAGCAGGTGTGGTTGTCGTCCACAAAGGTATGATCACGCACTTTTTGGGATGCAGCCGAAGATGCGCGTAGTTGTAGGCCGCGTCGAAGACGGAGTGCAGTGGGGGGAGAGCTTGAAGGCTGTTGAGGTGGAGGCCCAGGTCGTCTGCACAGGCTGCCGCAGTGCCCACCTCTGGCCCGGCAAGCTGTGGGTCTATGGCCCTGATGACGACGTCCATGGCGATCGCCCACACCGTGCCCGAGAGAGGACATCCTTGCGCAACGCCCGCCGAGAGCGGACAGATGTAATGGAAGTCGCCGTCAAGCAAAATAACGCCGTGGGAGTCGTGGTATAGTGCAGAAGCCGCGTGCATGAATCCACGGTCGCACTGGAAGTTCTCCAGCGCGGCGAGGAGCCAGTCCCTGCCGAGGGATGGGAAGGCGGCCGCTACGTCAAAGAGCACTTGTACAGGGCGCCGGGTGCTGGCATCGGGAGGGAGGCCTGCGGCGCGTCCCAGAGCATCCATGACGACGACGTTACGGCAGAAGTTGCGCCCTCTAATGAAGCCCTGCTGAATCGCGCGAGCGTGCTTCTCTACAGGGATGCGCATTTGCTCGTTCAGCGCGGCGGCGCAGATCTTGCTGTCGGCGTTCTTGCGCGAAATCGGGCGAAGCATGTCGGGAAGGCGCGTGCAGACGGCTGCATCGTCGTCCTCCGTGCCTTTCGGGATGAAGGAGAAGATGGAGTCGTTGAGCCCCGCAGGATCTGCACCGTGCTCGAGCATGTCCCAAAAGACGTCGTGAAGAGCGTCGAGGGCGCGCGGCGCAGCCAGCCAGGCGCGATATGGCAGGCGGTCAGGGCCAGGTGCAGAGACGCGCGCTCGTAGGACAGCTCTGCGCAGTGCCGCTGGCGTGGGTGGGGTAAGGTCGGGTGGCTGCGGAAGGCAAGGTGCGTGTTGTCGAACATAAGATGCCATGGCACGGCGGTCTACATCCTTGTGGGCGAAGATAGGCAACCAATGAGCTTGAAGAACTTGCACCATGTCATGCGGTGATGTGGCAATTCCATGTCCGTCAGGGATGCGAATGCCAACCAGTTGAAGAACTCTGGCAAAAGGCGCCCAAGCACGAGCTCGCCGCTGGGCAACACGTGCCTGTTTCTGCTGGTGAGCGGCTTCCATGTTGCGGCCATGGTGGGCAGCGCGCTGGGCTGCAGCAGCAGCGGTCTTTTTCTGCGAAATGTAATGCGCATAGTGGGCCTTCTGCGAAAGCTCGGCGAATTCGCCTTCATCCTGGAGACTGATCTCCGCGCCGTTTATAACGAGGTGATGCTGGGCGTGCGCGTCAAGAGTGCTGAGCGTAGCGGCAAGCCTCACGTCTTGTCGCCAGACAGCATGCGAGATCGACCGGTAGACCAAGAGGCGAGCCTCAAGGGGCAGCTGCGCGCGAGAACCTCCAGGAAGCTGTAACAGATGATTCCGCGTCAGCCGTGCTGCTTCCACCATGTTCGCTTTGATCGCCCGCCATTGCAGCGTCGGAGACGCAGATACATCGTTAGAGCGTTGAGCCAAGAGCTCGAAGAACCGCGAGAACAGCGGGGGCGAGAACAAGAAATCGGGAATCGGCTGCACGTGCGCCAGCTTGCGCGGAGCATAATGGATATGAAGGGCTAGCACGGCATGATCACTGAGACGCTTGTCACTCAGGGTCGCCGCGTCCTGGTGTATATGCACCTGCAGCTGGAGGTTAGGTAGTGCATGCGCTGGAAGGCTGCAGAAGATGCGGTCGATGCGCGTCTTGGTGGCATTGCGTGGGTCATACCTGGTGGGTTCGCCAGAAGAGGTTTCCGTCATCTGGCCAAAAAGACGACGCCACGCCGATTGCTGATGTTGGTGACCGCCAGGAGCTGGGAACTGAAGCGGACCAGGACGGTGAACGTTGGAGGCTGGCTCATCGTGGATGTTGTAGTCGCCGATCGCCAGGAAGAGCCGCATGCGTGGAGAAGGGGCTGCCCAGCGCTGCGCCTCCCGCCAATAATC